ATGTGCTGTAATGCCCCTGTGAGAAATGAAGAAGGAGGGGTTCTTCCTCTGATAACAAAACCAGAATCCTTGAACCCAGCCTGCCACATGATGTTATGCCTCTTAAACCATTTAAAAAAAATTACTCCCCAGGATGGAAATCTAAGCTGGACTGCCTGAACTGCTGAGGCTCCCAACCTCAGTTTTATCTTGGATTCCTCCTTCTCCCTCTCTTTCCTCTCCTCCTCACTATATCCAATTAGGTCTAAAATCCTAGCAAGTCTGCCTCCAAACCATCAGATCCATTCTCTCCTTTCTTCTGACTCTCTGCCAGTTACCGCACTCACTGTTCACCTCCCTGCTGGGTTCTCTACCTCCTTTTTGCTCCTCCCCTTCAATCTTCATACATGTAACAGCAAAGCTGTCTCAAACAGCCTGAATTATGACATCCACCTGCTCAGAAACACTCAAAGATTTCCCATTGCTTGCAACATAAATCCTTGTCAGTTTGGCATTCAGAGATGCCTGCCGTTTGGTCCTTATCTGCCTCACCAGTTTACTAATCCCCACTCCAGTCTCTCTACCTTCACTCCACACGCACTGATATACGTGCAGTTTCCTAAGCCATCCCTCCACATTCTAGCTGTCCCTCTACCTGGAACATCCTTCTTCTTCCACTCTTCCCTTACTCCACAATCCTTACTTCTGCCATTGGTCTCATTTCTTCTTGTCAAAGACCTACATATTTAGTGAAGGCAAGGCCAGGCTTAAAAAAGTCAAAGCCAGGCGATAAATTATCTATTATGTAAGAAATACTTCAAAACTCATTGTTCAAAAAAAGACTGCCTTAGTCAGGTTTAATCTCTTCTTCCTAGATAAGCCTGTTTCGTTCTATTTATTCTGTTACTCTACTTGTCAAATTCTGCCTTGCATGAAAGCTAACTGTGCACATCTCCATCTCTCCCACCAAACTGTGAATGCTTGAGAAGTGAAAGCCATCTTAAACATCTTTGTTTCCTCACAGGCAGATGTTGAACCAAGTCTCCAGTTATTGATAGGAAAATTTGTGGTTATCCAAAGTTGATCTTTTATTTGTCTGTAATAGGCAAAAGTTATGAGATAAACAGATTTTATCTCAAATACATATATTTACTATAAATATATATAGTTATATATACATATATAACTATGACTAACAGTAAAAACTAATAAATATCTACCAAGTAAATAAACTAAAGGTGTTGAGTGTAAATAGCTAATTATAAAATTTTATAAACTGCACTTTTATTACTTGAAATTTGGCATCTACCCATCATTATGTAATGAGATAGTTATAGAACTTAGATGGTTCTCTTCAATTATAAAATGAATAGGTAGATTTAAAATGTGATATGAAGTTAATATCTTTTAACATATAAAGCGCTCTTACAAACAGGAAGGATAGTGCTAATTGCAAGAAAAATAAAATAGGCAAACGGCACTAATAGACACTTTTCAAAAATAAATATAAATGGCTAGTAAACATTAAAGTTGCTTACTTACTAGTAATCACAAACTACAAGTTAAAACAATGGTACATCTATTTTGAATCTATTAATTTGGCAAAATTTTTCAAAGTTAATTACCATTTTCTCTGTTGGTAGGCTTGTAAATTGTTATAAACTCTCTGGAATGTATTTTGGTGATATGTATCAGGTTCTTTAAAAGATTCTTTCTATTTGACCCAATAACCTCCCTCCTGGAAATCTATCATGGGAAAATAATCAGAAGTGTAGGTAAAGATTTCTGTTAAAGAATTCTCATCACAGAGTTTTTCATAACAATTAAAAATTAGAAAAATCTAAACTATTAAATACTAAGAAATAAATTCTATAGCATCTATACAGTGGAATATTTTGCAGTCATTAAAAATAGCATTTTCAAAACCTATTTAATAATGTTGAAATGACCAAAAGTAGCAGGATAGAATAACTATACTTTATGATCCTATTTTTGTTAAAATTGGTGAGATAACAAGTGATTTTTTTCTTTATACACATCTACTTTTCAAGTTTTTACACAGACAAAATAGTTTTTATGCTTTAAAACCCAATAAAAAGTGATACGTAATTGTCTTATTCCCAGTAGGAACCAAAACTCAAAGACCAAACAAGTCGGTTTTTTATTTCCTCAGAGAGTGAAAATGACTGACTTCAAGAAACTCCCAGAATGCTGCTGTAAGCTCCCATTTCAAAGAAATGGTGTGGTGTTTGGAATGGATAAATTTAAAGAGACAGCCAGTATTATTCTCATCTGTGATATATCATTTCTGCCTCTGATATAATCTTTAAAAAGAAAAAAAATTCACTTCCACTTCCCTTTAACTCACTACAACTGTACAGACACCACTTGGTAATAAAAACAGCCTTAAAACCATGTGCCTCATTATCTCACAGCTACTAACCATAAATAACAGTTTCATACTTTGGGGATTATAAATTATTCACATGAAAGTAATGCCAAATTATTAAAAGCCATTTAGATGAATCTGTGACCTCCTTTGACAGCCACTGGTTTGAGTGACAGCCTGAAAGTCAGTGTGGTCAAAGCCGATATGGAATAGCCAGGACAAGCTCCTTCTTCACCTCACCAGCTTGCTTTGGTTTGAAACCAGATGAACTACAATTCTGGGAAGAAAAAACGCATTTTTTCATTCTGGAGCTCTGTTTGGAGTGATAAGTGTACCTTGGGAAATAGAAATAGTCTTAATTCTTAACAGTTAACAAATCACTTTTACAGGTATGGTGATTAAAGGTATTAAACCTAAACATTATGATACACATTATCACAGGTATTAAACCTAAACATTTGCTATATTTTTAGAATCACTGAGATAATTTGAATTTTCTTGGCAACACAAAATAGCTTCTGGTATAAATGCAAGAATGAAGAACATTTATTTACAATGTAGTATGAGAAAGGTCATATTCATTTAGTCATACTTTGTAGTGAATAAAATTTTGCTAAATGATACAAATAGCAGAGCATAAAACCAAAAACATACTTCTTTTCAAGATGGAGTCTCACTCTGTCGCCCAGGCTGGCGTGTGGTGGCGTGATCTCGGCTCACTGCAACCTCTTTCTCCCATGTTCAACCGATTCTCCTGCTTCTGCCTCCCCAGTAGCTGGAACTACAGGCATGTGCCACCATGCCTGGCTAATTTTTTGTATTTTTAGCAGAGATGGGGTTTCCCTGTGTTAGCCAGGTTGGTCTCGATCTCCTGACCTCGTGATCCACCCGCCTCGGCCTCCCAAAGTGCTGGGATTACAAGCGTGAGCCCAGCAATAATCAAAATTTGACTCTTACAAGATCACTTCTGTGTAGTAATAGGTTACAGAGCTCAGAATTCTGTAAGTACATCCTCTCAGCATTGCCTTTCCTTTGGAAAGCCACATCTTTGCTCAGCTTGTAGCAAAAGATGCTAATTTGATCACACTGACTCCTTTTAATGCAAAGACTGAATTGTTTTTAGACCACTGGTGATTAATGTGGGTATTGATTAGCTGATCAATAAGGCCACAGTGTCTAATTATTGATAATCCCTCTCCAAATGAAAGATCGAGTGTAAGGAGTCCCAGTTACAGAGTTCAAAATACAAAGTGATTCAATGTGATGCTTGGTAATTGAAAGTCAAACTAATCTCATAAATTAAATCACAACAATCCATAACATTTACCTGATAAATCCTTTGGAAACTGTACTTAATTTTTACTATCCTGGACTTGTGCCCCTGCTCCTCCCCCCTTGAATGTCTTAAAGCACACAACTTGTTGAGAGAGATAAAAATCATTCTAAAGTGATTTATCTTCATGAAGTAACGGCACTATCACTGATGGTTACATATTTTAAATAATGGTTTCAACTCCATATCACATCATAGGATGAAGAATAAAGAAAACTTATCATGAATGCTCAAGAGAGTGAAGACTGTCCCTAATATTTGGACTCACAGACCTGAAGGAACTTCAGAGATTATGAACTCTCCCTGTTGCTCTCCTATAGTTTAAAAGACTTATGATTGTTGTACAACCAGTCACAGGGCAGGAAAAGCTTGGGGATGTAGATCTGCTACAGCTGCTGCCCTTTCTTGTCATGTAACGAGTAGGTAAGCATTATTTTGAACTAGGGTAAAATACTTACTCATATAATCAATGGCCATGATGTGCAATAAAAATAAAATTTCTTTTATATTCTTAGACGGATCTCAGTTTGCTCCAGCATCCCTGCAATTTCCACTGGCGATGTGGAGGCAAGGTGAGAAAACTTTGCCAATGAAAGATCAACTCCATTTCAGGTTATCTCGGTCTCTTTTAGATCCATGCTTAATTTGGAAAATCATTTCTTCTTACCTTGCTCCTCCTGAAGATTGTGTCTGAGTCTATGAGGGCTTATGTGACCCCATGGGAGTGAGGGAGGAGAGATTTAGATCTGTGTGAACTTTCACGTGTCTACTGGAATTCACTGAAGTCTGCCATGGAGTGGCGGATCTGATGCCTCAGAGCTCTGTATTTATTGTTCATTACTAAAGCACAGCTCCTCCTGCCTAGTATTTTTTCTTCTGTTTTTTCTTTTGCAACTTTAATTTTGGCACATTTGATATCTGCAAAATAATCAGCATAATACATATGAGTTAGAAAGCATAATAATAAACACTCATGAATTCACCATCAACATAAGAAACAGAATATAATCAGTGCCGCTGAAATCTTCTATTAGTCTCTTTCCAATTTCTCCAACCTGCTTCCACCCAGGTGTAACCACTCTTCTTAAGTGTTCTGTTTATCATTTCTTTGCTTATCTGAATGCATTTACAATATAGACTTAGGTGTTCAAAAAGTATAGCTTGTTGTTTCGCTTGTCTTTGAATGTCATATCGTGGTTCACAGTTTGCATGCTTTATGACTTCCTTTTTTTTACTCAAGATTCTAAGATTCATGCATTCTTATCTCTGTGAATTCTTTTTTTTAAATAGTTTTTACACCAGGGGAGACCGTGAACGCAGTCCCCCACTACCACAAATTATGCAGTCGAGTTTCCCACATTTGGGGAAATCGCAGGGGTCAGCACATCCGTAGTGCAATGGATAAGCCTTGTCCCGGGAAGACCACCTTTGTGAACATGGTATCTCTCCTGCCAGATAAGCATCTCTGTGAATTCTTAAGCCAAAGTCCAAGTTGGTGACAACAGAGTCTCTAAGGAACCCAGACTGCATTTTTCTCTTGCCTTTGCTCCTCAAAAACATCCCCCTTCCTCCTCTGTAGAAACTGTACTGAGGTTTCTACATCCTCTGCCTATCTGGTGAGAATATCTCTTTCATAATATTCTGTCCTCTCTGCACAATCATTTAGAATAAAACTTTATTTTACATTGATCAAACTGGACTCTTTATATGTAAAAGGAAGCTTTATAAATATAGGAAATCTCACTCTTTTACAAGAAAGCCTAGGTTTATGAACTTCTATTTTCAACTAAGGCAGTGTACCTTGCATCGATGCAACCTTCACATCCAAACATCTTAAAAACTGTATACAGTGTGTTGTTGTTAAGCAGGTACTTGAAGCTATTAAAGGGCAACCAAAGCATCCCAGGCTTGAGGAGCCAAGATCTCAGAGAAATGAGAAAGACATTGAGAGTGAGCTCGCTTTCTCTGCCTTCTCTCTTCATAAGGCATTTGCCAATTTGTAAGAGATTCCAATAAGAGGCTTTAAAGAAAGTAGCAGCTCCACACTCATGTCAATAAATAGAGAGGAGTGAATTCAGTATCCATATGGGGGAAAAATTAATCTTGACCCTCTATATTGTACGCTATACAAAATTAACTCCAGATAGATTTTAGACATATATGGGAAAAGTAAAATATCAAAGCTTTTAGTATGACATAGGAGAATGTCTTCGTGACCTATAGGTGGGCAAGAATTTCTCAGACAAAATACAAAAGCTTTAAAATCAATCATAAAGGAAAAGATTGATAAATAAGACCACTTTAAAATTAAGACACTTTTCATAAAAAGACACCTTTAAAAACATAAAAAGGTAAGCCAATAGTGGAAGAAAGTATATTTCTGACAACAATTTTCTATACAAAGATATAAAGATCTGTAAATCAACAAGAAAAAGAAAACTATCAAAGCAATTTTAATGAGAAAAACAAACAAACCAAGACCACTTGAATAGGCATCTTACAAAAAAAGATAAGGTGGCCAGCATCATTAGCCACTAGGGAAATGCAGTTTAAAACCACCGCGAGATCCCACCATACACACATGAACTGGCTAAAATAGGGGAGACAAGTCTCAGTAGAAAGTATTGGCACCTGTAATTTTCACTTACTGTACTGAAAAATAAATTGTGGTATAGTCATAAAATGAAATACTATACATCAATGACATTGAAGAAACTAATCTGGACACAATAGCATGGCTAAATCTCACAAACTTAATTTAGAGAGAAAGAATTCAGATAAAAATTACCAAATACTGGATGAGTCATTTTATATAAAGTTCAAAGATAGGCAAAACAAATCTATGGTGATGGAAGTTACACCAGTGGTTACTTCGCTGGGGCATAATGAGAAGGAGGGAGCAGAGAAACTTCTGGGTCGCTGGTAAAACGCTTTATCTTGTCATGGATAGTGGTTACACAAGTGCATTCACTTTGCAGAAATCCATCAAGCTGGGCAGTCATGATTTGTGCCCATTTTGTCAGTATGTTCTATTCAGTTGAAAAGTTTACTGAAAAAAAAAAAAGCCTATCTTTTGAGACAAATTATCTTAGTGCAGATCAGAAGTCCTATTTCAGAATTTAAAAACTCATCATTGAATCTTTCTCTCTTTTTTATTCTGCCTCTAGCTGGATAGAAGAATCATGTAAAAGGAAGTACAAAAAGGAAAAGAACATTAATATATTTCAAAAATATTATCCCTGTTATGCCTTCCATAAAGCCCAGAATCAAAAGAACAGAAACAGGTATAAATTAAAACTGTAATATAATTCTTCAAGATAATGGCAAAAATATTTCGAGAGGATATGCTTTGTGGTAATGAGGATGTTTGAATATAGACATTCTTATTGTATTGGTACATGCATTCTGGGGGAAAATTTGGAAGAAAAAAAACTTTAAAAAATGCATACTATTTGACCTAACAATGGCCTTCCCAGGAATCTGACTTAAAGGAAAGAAGATCTTTGCAGGGATTTACCTGCAAAGCTTTCTTTGCAATATTCTTTAAAATATAAAGAAATGTAGAAAAAAAATCTGTTCAAGAGCAGAAAAAGTATGCCACATTAATAGATAAAATTGTAGTAGAAAAAATCTATTGAGAAAGACTGATGTTCATATGTATTTTTAATTATTTTTACTTGACAAATAGTTGCTTATATTAATGGAGTATTATGTGATATCTCAATATATGTACACATTGTGGAATGATTATATTAAGCCAATTAACATATCTATCACGTCACATACCTTTTTTGTAGTAAAAACATTTAAAATCTATTTTTAACACAATTTTGAAGTATACCATATATTATTATTAACTATGGTCACCTTGCTGTGCAATAAATCCTCGAAACATATTCCTCCTAACTGGAACTTCATACTCTTTGGTCAACTTCTCCTCATCGCCCATCTCCCCACTCCCAGGTAACCATCATTCTACTTTTCTAAGTTCAACTTTTTATAGATTCCACATATAAGCAAAATCGTGGTATTTTTCTTTCTGTGCCTAGCTTATTTAACTTAGCATATTAGTCTCCAGGTTTGTTTGTTTTGTCACAAATGGAAATTTCCTCCTTTTTTAACACTGAGTAGTATTCCACTGTGTGTGTGTGTGTGTGTGTGTGTGTGTGTGTGTATCACATATTCTTTATCCATTCATCCATTGACAGACACTTTAGGTTGATTCTATATCCTAGATACTGTTAACAAAGTTACAATGCTCACACTTTATTATACATGAGAAAAAGCAAGTCGTTAAATATAGGTAGACAACACACAATTTCACTTTGTTAATATGCATTGAAAAAAAGTCCAGAAGAGCACACTTCAAAGAGCAAGAATTGCCTGCGAATGGTGGAGTCATTCGCTCATTAATTAATTCAATATTTACTCTATATGCCAGGCTCAATGTTTGGAAACTGATGTATCAAGATAGGCACATACTCTGTCATTACAGAGATTAAAGCCTGGAAAAAGTCACAAAACATCATCCATCAGTAAATATAGTATGCTGTTTTGAGGATTAAGTGTGATGATAGAAAGTTCTTGTGATAGGGCCTGTCTGATGAAAAGTAAGTTCTGAAAAGTTGTTTATTATTATTGCATTCTCAGTATAAAGTAGCTTCCTTCCTTAATGGAAACATAAAGGATTTCTGCAAATACTTAAGTTGCAACATATCCAAATTAAGAAGTCACATGGAAGAGGCCGAGCATACTGGCTCACGCCTGTAATCCCAGCACTTCGGGAGGCCGAGAAGGGAGGATCACTTGAGGCCAGAAGTTTGAAACCAGTCTGGTCAACATGGCAAAACCAAAACCCCATCTCTACTAAAAATGTGAATATTAGCCAGGTGTGATGGCACACGCCTGTAGTCCCGGCAGCTTGGGAGGCTAGGGCAGGAGAGTCACTTGACCCAGGAAAATGGAAGTTGCAATGAGCAAAGATTGTGCCACTACACTCCAGCCTGGGCAACAGAGAAAAACTCTGTCTCATAAAAAATTATAATTCACATGTAAAAAAAACAGTCACCTCACAACACAATCTATCAAATTATATCTGAAATTTGAAAATTAGGCAATTAATTATCTGGCTAGTTTGTTCAATTTAGATAACCAATAAGAACTGTTTAATCATTTTTTACAAACAAATCTTTGTTTTTGTTTTAAAAATTTTCCTGTTTTTCACTTCATATTTGCCACTAGATTGTCAATTTTCTGTATTCCATACTGCTCAGCACCCACCTAAGCCCATACTTTCCTGGAAACTCCTGTCTCACTGTGGCTTCAGAGGAGCAGGATGGTGCAAAGACTGCTTGGAAGTGATGTAGACACCGAAGAGGTCATGTTTGACAATTATTTTTGCCCTGCTAGTCCCCAGGCTCATGGATTATTTACATAGTGCTTTACAATTGCTGGATCAGATCATATAATTCTCTCTCTAGGTGTCATGGTTGGTTAGATAACTCTAGTTATAGCCTCATTCACTTAAGTCATAATAATTTCATGTGTACAACAAGCATGGAGCCATGTCAGGCTGGGGAGATTTAGGGATTGCTCTGCCTAAAATCCATAATCACTGTATTCAGTGTAATCAAGATTCCATCCTCTCCTTCTTACAGTATCAGAAGAGGGAGAGTGAGGGAGGCAAAAAGGGGGGAAGAGAGGGATAGAGGAAGGAATTTCATGATCCCATGTGCCCCCTCTAGTTCTTCATTTCTTTGTTTTCCTTTTACAGGAAACTAAGAAATGGAGGAATCTCCTCCATTTAGGTTACTCCATGGCCTTTCTTCCCGTTCCCTCTTACACTGTCTCTAGAGTTTCACATCTACCACACTATCAAAGCTTTTCCCTCCATATTGCTAAAAGTCATAATCAATTCTCATCTACTCTAAGCTCTCTGTCACACTTGATGCAATTGATCACTCCCTCTTTCTTGCAATGCTCTCTTCACAATCGTACTATCTGGTTTCCCTACAGTCTAGCTGCCTACTTGTTCTCAGCCTCCTTTATTGTATCCTCCTCCCCTTTCCAACATGTAAGCATCAGAATGCCCCAGGCTCCTGACTTGGTGAGCTCCTCTGGTGCTGTGACTTTAAACACCATCTATAATCTTATGATTCCCAGATGTGTGTCTCCAGCCCTGATTTCTCATCAGAACTTCAACTGCCTAGTTAACATAGTCACTTGATTTCCACCACCCCTCAAACTGGTTCTTCTATCATGCTTCTTCATTTCAGCAAATGGCATATACCAGGTCTTAAAATCTTCACATCATCTTGACCTCACTTACTCTCAAACCTCTCATCCTATTTATCATCAAACTCTCTCCTTTGTCCTTGCAAAATATATCCCATATCCAATCACTTCTCAGCCTCTGCAGTCACCTCCCTAGTCTAGGCTACCATCATTTCTCTCATGAATTACT